GAGCCCGAAGATTGTCAATTCGATTGCCGAGGTCCTGACGCCAGCGGTGCCAATCCGAACTCTGAAGGTGCCAATGTCGTTGAAGAAGATCCTGTTGGAACCTGTTCAGGCCTGAGAGAGGTTGCTTCCATCCCCGCCATTTGTAGGGAAGATTGAACAGAATCGGCGCATGATCCTTTGTGTGACCAAACTTGCCTGGAAGGTGTTCCAGGTAGATAGGTTTCTTTGTGATGGAGTCACTGGTTTTGTGCCGGACCATGACATAGTCAATCCGAGATAGATGCCCCAGGCCGCCCCGGTAGGTGGGACCAAGCGAAGTGTCCCAGGTGTTGAGGTAGGATGTCAGCCAAGAGATGTGAATCCTGGTGTTGAGTGCCAGAGAGTCGCCCTCGTCGGCCTTGAAAGTCATGAAGCCCAACACAGTGCGGTGTCCGAGGCAAACTGCTATTGAAGTCACCGGCAAGGATGACCACATTCCTTTGAGGAAAGCCTGTCAAAAGGCCGTCCAAGGCGTCCAGTAGTCCGGAGCGTTTGTCTCTGCATTGCTGATCGGATCCGGTCCATGGATGCTGGTAGATGTTGACCAGGTCAAGGCCCGTGGAGTCAAGGTAGAGCCGGGCATGAAGAAGCCGCCCTGGAGTAACCTCTCGCCAGGAGATCCGGTCTGGAGGGCAGAAGGCCTTCCGTATGACGGTCAGAAGCCCTCCTGCTCGATCGTGAGATCCACTGTGGATATACGCAAAGGTGTTGTCAGTCCAATCACCGGTGAATCCCCACCTTGTGTCTTGAAGTTGGATAAGGTCAAGTTGCTGTTGATGCATCCATTGCCTGAGGATGTCAAATTTATAGGTGCCCAGGGAGCCGATGTTCCAGCTGAGTCCTTGAAGCCTGTTCTTCCGTAGTTTGGCCGGTGGTGATGAATTGGGTTGCCCCAAGAGAGTCGTTGGAGTGTCAGAGGCCTGCCAGGGAAGTGGTGTGACTCCAAGCATCAGAGCTTCCCTTTGTACCATGTGTGCCCGTGAAGTTGGGCCCGCTTGAGTGCACGAATGTAGGATTTCTTCTTGGGAAAGTGCTGGCTAATGTCCAGACGTTGGTGTGTGGATCCAAGGCCACTTGGCTTTGCCGTATTGGTAAACTGACTGGCAAAGTTCTTGTTGGCTTCACCGGACCGTGTGGCTGGTCCGGAACCCTCGGGCCACCAGGGCATGGCATTGGCATTGAGCGTGGTCATGAAGTCCTCGTGATAGACCCCAAGAAGGCCGCAGAGGAGGAAGAGGAAGGTGCCAGCCCTGGCTGGGGACTTGGGACCCCAGCTAGCTCTAGGAGCAAGTGCAAGGACCTGGGAGGTGGTTCTCCTTGACCAGAATCGTTGTCTTCTCACGGTAGAAGTGTTCTTGTAGGTCTCAAAGCTCAAGAGGAGAAGCAGGTTAAAGACCTGAAGAAAGAGAACCACAATCAAAATGACCGTGCCGCCCTCAGGGACCGCCTTGAAGAGAGGTCCAGGAGGATGTCCACCAAGTTGGCGGATGAAGTCCCGGTACCTGATGGCCTCGAGGATCAGGGCGGCCACAAGGTCAAGGTGACCATGAGGCACGGGGTCCCGCACTAGCCCGTTCCAATTGATGGAATGGGGCTTGAAGCTAGTGGCCCTTATCATCGTCATCATCATCATCATCATCATCATCCTCGTCGCCGCCGCCGCCGCCGCCGCAAAGGACAAGTATGTTCGTCGATGCTCTCCATCCCAATATAGTAAGGCTGGCAGGTGCGCCAATGCACCCAGGCACGGCCTTCTGCGTGAATTGGAGCATCAGTTCCTCACAAAGCGGCTCAGCACTGTCCCTCGATGCTGCAAAAAGTCAGGTGGCCGCATGTTGCACAGCACGCATTGGCGCACCAGGTACGGACGAACGTCAGGCCAGTCCAGCAGCAGCCGAACATCGAGTCGATGGAGGGCTGGAATCCAAGCATCAAGCTAGGGATGACCCGGGCTTGACATTGCCTGCGTCTGCAGAGGGCGGAATCACACCACAACTTTGTGCTCCACCATGGCCATGCCAAAGCAGTTCCTGAACACAGCGTCCGGCAGGGTCAAGACAACCCAGTGAGGATCATCCCATACTGCCGTCTGATAGTGTCCAGAGTGTGGGTCAAGACCTACATGGAAAGAAACAGCAGTCACCGTATATGGTAGCTTGTCGATTGTAAGGAATGGTTGATGAAGTGAGGAACAAAAATGGATGAGGACCAGTACAGCTTCTGAAAACTCTTGTGTCCCTGTGGATTGAAGTCGTCAAGCTGCACACAAATCAAGTCAGCTGGACCTGTCGTGGCCTGACGGCCATACGCAAGAGGTGATCAGACCTTGCAGTGCAGTGGTGTCACCGTGTTTCTCAGTGCACAGGTACATACAAAGTGTGATGAGCGCGCGTGCGCGCCACCAAAAAAAGGTGCAGATCTGACAATCCGCCTCAACTTGGGGTTCCAGAGGCTACTGAGAAAACAAAGATCAACAAGGGGAAGCAAAAAGTGCCCGTAGTCCACCATGTCGTGTTGTTCAATTGGTCGATCCCATGTGGTCATCAAGGACAGCCATTGGTCATCCACGATGTGCAGTGCAAGTGCAATCCCCAGGCGAGAAAGTTGTGTTTGTGTCTGTAAACACATCATTCCAATGATCTCCATGTTCAGTGCACAAATGCCGGGAGGAGGAGAAGGAGGAGGGACGTGGAGCCCTGAGAGATGTCCACATAGCCCACATCTGACGCCCAACCTCCGAACAAGACTTCGATAGCCAATCGAGTGATCGAAAGTGCTCCCACTGAGAAGTGGAAGGATGACCGGATGTTTGAACAAATGAAGGTCTTAGAGTGATTGCCATCAGTGTGTTGTTTGAGGGCCTTCAGAGTTAAAAACGAGGTGTCGCAGTTGGGCACATTGAAGTTGACCTGGAGCTTGATCCCTTGCTCACATACTGATGGAGTCCAGCAGCTGCTGCGAAAATGCTGTCACATGTGGTGCACTTGAACTATGCATTCATGTTCTCATTGTCCAAAGGGCTGGGCCCTGGTGCTTCCAGGTTGATAGCGCGTTGACACCGCTCTTCCAGAGCCACAATCGGGCACGAATGAGTTTTTTTATTGCAACGACATGGTGACCTCATTCGTGCTCTCGTTATGTTGGGAAGTGCTTCATGACTGAGTGTAGTGGCTTCTGGATGTTCACGGTTCTCGTGCGCACTCATTTGCTGAGTGCGTGCCGCCCAGTAGGCCTGAGCCAGTTCTTGAGGATCATTTTGAACCATGTAGTCCTGCAACTAACAATCAACTGATTCAATGGAGGTCCGCAAGTGGTCCATGTCATCTGGTTGCAAGAGGCATTGCCACTCCTCCTGCTTGTCAATGTGGGTCTGAAGGCGGAACAGATAGGGTGCCCTCAGGAGAGCTGTGGAGGTATTTGTCGTAATTCCGCCCCCTCAACGTCAAAGCACACCAGAGCAAAACGCTCACGAAAAGGGTCAGGAGCACCAGCGAGAGATCAGGAGGTAGAACAAGACCAGGTGCCAGCCGCACAACAGGCGGATGTTGGAGTGGAACTGGAGCGCAGGTTCAGATGCTAGGAGATGTCCACTCCATGGGCAAAGAGATCAAAGAGACGCCGCGTTACTACTATTATATATATATATAATCATCCTCATCATCATCAGAGCGATCGGATTTGCAGCGGATCATTGCATCATTCATCGGATTAGCCGGTCATGGAATCATCGGATCAGCAGATCATCCTGTTAGGTAAGGTAATCAGCGGGTCGGAGCTTCCTTTTTTAGGTCATACGATCAACGGATCTCCGGATTGTTGGAGTATCGGAAATCGCCTTTCTATCTCCTGCGGCACCTTCTTGATATCCTACCTTTTGTGTTTCTCTCCTTGCAAAAGTATCATCACGAAGTGGTGGAAGTCAGCCACAATATGAGGTGGAATACGTGGTGACAGCTGGGAAAACGACCCGTGGAATCAGCAGTGGAACAGGTGCCATATTTCATGTCTCTACGTGGAGCAAGGATTCTGAATTGCACGCCACATGCCCCAATCCCCGTCCGTTGGAACATGCACTCCTTTCCTCCTACATTCAGGTGTTGGCTCCACTTGTCGCATTTACCCAGGCCCATGGTAGAAGTCTTCCACCTTGGACTTGATGCTCAGGAATTGACCGTGTCTTTTTTCTTTCTCGCACTGGCCAGGAACTCCAAGAAGAAAACGACAAACTCAAGAGCCTTGGTGCTTCAGCTGTTCGGGGCCAGAGAAGCCACTGGAATTGATTGTAATGCATTGAACAAAGGCTTCCTTTCTTATTGATAGGTTTCCTGACTTCCTGTCATCATCCTTTAAAGATGCCATCAGCAACCAAGGAGTCAACTGTCCAAGCAGACTTTGCCTCCAGGTGTGGTGGGCATGAATTTCCTCCATGCATCATTTCTGAAATGGAGCAGAAAGGATCTTTAACAAACGAGGGTCTTGCACACAATTGAGCTTATAAGAGTCTATAGTTGCACTTGAGGCTCATAAGATTATCACAAGAGATCATGAGAGGGGTTGCTTGAAACCTGCATGTATAAGCCACCATGTGCGTTGCTGGGCCTTGTAGATGTGAAGTGCCGTGGTGCTGTGCAGTTGCTGAGAAGAAGGATGAGCCGTCGAAGAAAGAGACTGACTTGCAGAGGTTGGCATGCCCACCAATCTTTGGCGATGATAACTCCTGTTCCACGCACCAGTAGAACATTTGCCTGTCGTGACAGTATGCATTTGTGACATTTGTGTTGGCCTTTCCGCTAGCCCAAATCTTTTGTGGCACGTCTACAAGGCAATTGGACTTGCTGAAGAAGCAGTTGACCGACGCTACTAAAGGAAACGACGTGCGGCTGCTTAGAACTCTATATATGATGATTCAGCTTGACGTGGATTTATAAGCAAGCTTATTTTGTGAGGCTGCAGCAAACCTCATGAAGCGCAATGAAGAGTTGGAGCGGGGTGATGCTAGGGTGGCGGAGAGACGTTTGGAGCTGCTTGCAGCATTAGATGAATGCACTGCTTGTTCAGTTTCGACCAAAGCATTTCCGCAAGCCTCAAGTGGCTCCTGGGGTCCCTGTTTTGGTAAAGGCACGACTCAGCTGTGGTGGCTTTTGCTTGCATCACCACAGGAGGCGGAGATTGAACAACTCAAAAATCAGCTCAAGGCAAAGACTCAAGAGGTCGCGGAGACCACGAAGGCGATCCTTCTAAGCTGAGCTCAGAAGGTATTTAACTGCAACTATGCATATATATATATATTAGGACCTGCAGTAAACTCCTTAAGCAGGAGATAAAGGTACAGGTTGCGCTGAGCTTGATGATGCATTCTTCCTTCTATAGTCTATGATGATGCAATTGCTCGAACTGGGTTGTGTTGTGTTTTGTATGATGGAGGCTAAGGCTGAGGAGCTTTTAGTTGGCATTTTCATGATTTTGTTTTGTGCAGGTTGCTGATGTTGCCAGGAGTTCTGCGCTTCCTGGTGTCAATGGCAAGTGCTCAGACAGTCAAAGTTGTGGCCGGTAAACGCTTCCTCGAAAGACCCGAAAGAGCCTCTTTTAAAGTACGTTTCATATCTTCACAGCTATGGGAAAGAGAGAAGTAGCTCGATCAACTCCAGGAGACAGTCCACAGACTTGATGGCTCAAATGGAGCAGATGAAGAAGCAACTGGAAAATGCTAAGAAGGAGACTTGCGGGCCAGCGCATGAGAGCAAGTAGTTTGTCATGAGTCACAAGCTTATCCCTACATCCAAGGATTGATGAACACTACTAGATTGCCAGATACCGCTGGCAAATGGATCTCCCAAGTCTGTTTTTGTGTATGTATCCAAATGCAGGAGCTTGACGAGGAAAGGCGTCCCGGCCCTGGAGGCTCTAGCGATGAACTGGAACGGGCAGCGAAGGAATTCATTGGCAAGTACACTATAGATGTACTGTACACTAGCGTTTTCTGCACCACGGACTCTCTCCACTCCCTGGCAAAGGCTCTTTGCCTTTTCATCCGAGGGCATTAATTTTTAAGGATTCACAAGGAAGGCAATTTCAGTTCTGCGTTTTCTTTACCAACTGCATCAGGTCGAACACACCGCTTGATAACACACCCTACTTATAGTGTGAGTATGTGACGGTGCCGCTTGCCAAGAGGGGCACCTCGAGCCCCTTCCAAAACTGCCTGGTTGCTGAGTTTGAAACCATGCTGATGGTTAAAAAGGGTTAACTTTTCTGCGTTCAAAGAGCATCAACTACCATTGGCTAGGTATGTTCAAAATCGACGATCTATGATCAAGACTTCGTGGAATTGTTCACGTGTTCCTGCAAATAACATTTATTGAGCAGATGCCGTGCCGAGCTGACTTCTAGGAAAGTTAGCCCATTGCTGTGTACAAGGGCTTGGGTTCAATGTTCACGACAATGACAATGGCTGTACAACATAGATACTGGATAGTGGAAGGAAAGCTGCTCGCTCTGAGGTTTTGCAGGTGCAGTCAACACAGGTCACAGGTCTCACAAAGACAAAAGATGTTCTTAGCGCTCCATGCCTTGAACGCTTCCAAGCCCCTCAAAGATGGAGATGGAACACGGGTCAACACATTGATTGACGCACTGGTTGACCTGTGCCTTTGGAGGCAAGTTCATGTACCCCGCACCTTTGCAGGGGACCGCATCGTTAGTTGACCCTCATCACAGAAAACGGGTGCAGATGCCATAAAATAACCAGCGCATCCGACACACCGGCACTCATGAGCCCGCTGTGCCCAGCAACCAGCCACTCCGGAGGACATGGGATCACCCCATTTTCACTGCTTTCCAATGCACGACATAATGGTCTTTACATACAGGAAAGTAAGGTAGGGCACGCTGATGTTGTAGTTGTATGGCGTTTATCATGTCAAATAAACAGCTGTGTCCAGACAAAAAAGAGTACCAATGTCCCACATGTTTGAGTGTCACTTTTGGACTTTAGTTTTTTTTAGCCGAGGCCGGTCCAGCGTCAAAGTTCCTCCTCCAGATGACGGACCCCGCGAACTTCACTTGCTAAGCATGCAGATGACTTCTTCCCGGCTCTGAATGGCAGCAAGTGCTGCCCGGGTTTTGTGAGGTCCTTCATAGCTTCAAGCAAATCCATATATACATACAGTATATATATATACACACACACTGTATCATCATATATCATCAAGATAGTGACACTGCACTTCTGCTTAAAACATGTGGGATTCTTGCGTTGGAGTGTCCCTGCAACTTGGCCTCAGAAGGAGACGGAGATGCAAGGCTTCGACAGCTTCAGCGACTTGGAACGGAATGGAATGACACCTGCACTACACACGACAACATATGCACTGTCGTGCACTGTGCATAGGATTGAAGACTTGGACATATCAAATTGTGTATGGAGAGTGGGAAGATCTTTAGTCTCAAACCATCTACAGGCCAACTCTGATTCTGCACAAAAACTGCAATGTCCCGAAATAGACTGGATGCCTGTACTAAGCATGGCATGCGACTGTATCAATCCTTCAATCTTGCTGCAATGCTCAATGAGGAGTACACATTGGTTCCAGATGTATATATATATATATGTAGTATAGATGTATATAAATGGATATGGCCCAAGAACGTTGGCCTAGTCATAAATAGTGCATGCGGAGGGACAAGCTGAAGAGCTCCAAAGAGAAAAATGCTGAGCTTGAGCAGGACCCACAGCCTTCAGGTTTGGGATTTGGTCTTTCTAGGTTTGGTTCGATGGTTTTTGTATAAGTGTGATTTGCACCCAAATATGCACATCCGGCTGAGCATTGAACGTCGAAGCCAGCGGGGTTGATCTCATCAATTTTGAAACTTTATCCGCACATTCTCCTTTTACGTTGCAACGGTGGCCAATCAGCTATTTGTACTTCGAGGGTCCCTGCCATAGACAGCAGAGATGGTTTCGCTTTCTCGTTTCCAGGAGAACAAACAGCTCAAAGATGCGCTGGATGAGGCCAAGATCATGAGAAAAGCTCTCGAGCAGGTGCCAGCCGACAACCGATTCATTCTTCAAGGGTGGAGGAGTTTTGGGATGTGGCCTTGCCAAGCACAGTTTGTTGTCCAACCCCCTTCACGTCAAGCTTGTGCAACTTGCCAGGCCATGGACGAGTTAAAGCGAAAGTTCGAGGAGTTGCATCGAACTATGAAGCAAACTACTATGCTACTAGGAGCAAAGCGCATCGCTACTAGGAGCAAGGACGCTACTAGGGGCTCCTGGCCTTACTACTAGTAACAATAAAACTATGCTCAACTCCCAAACTTCGGTGCTTTGAACTGAGATTCTGTGCGGCGATGCATATGTCCAATTTGGGTAGCTGTGGCTTCGTCAATGCTGTTTGACTATATAAACCAGGTGGCATCAAGTTGATGGCTTGTTTTGTTAGTGTTGCTCGGGCACAGAATCTGAAACGAGACCATTTTCTTCGTTGATGTCACGGCGCTTGTGTTCGCCATAGCTTCAGGAGTTCAAGAATAAGCTCCAGGAGAAAGGTGTAGATGTTAGTACGCTGGCTGCACTATCAAAGTTAAGTATGAAGCATGGAGAACATGCTAGTAGCAATGCCCTTGTTACTAGTAGCAATGCTCTTGTTACTAGTAGCAATGCCCTTGTTACTAGCAGCAATGCCCTTGTTACTAGTAGCAACGATTTCAGTAATGTCAGCATGAGAAACATCAGAAACGGAGTGCGTCTTGAGGTTTGTTGGATGAGGCGCTGCTTGAAGTAGGCCATCTCTGGTGGAGTGGGTGAAAAACGAAGGGTTCGGTAAGTTCTATGATCAAATTGCCAGGCTGCTTTTGCCACTGTGCATATAATTGTTTTGCTAAAACACAGTTTGGGCAACACCTCAGATCAGGCTAGGCATCCGTGGCAGGTATGCCTACACATCCAATGAATGTGTTTGACCGCCTCTATCAAGATGCTGTTCGCCGCTTCAACCGCTTCCAGGACAAGAGAATGCTGTTTGAGGGGGAGAAACACGATGGAACCCACGAACCCGAATGCAAACACATACTCGAAAACAAACACTCAAACAATTTTTGACACTCTTGTAGGAGACACTTTTGTGGGACACTCTTGTAGGACACATTCCTTCGGAAACCTTTGTGGGACACTCTTGTGCACTCTTGTGGGACACCTTGTATGACACTCACTCTTCTGAGACACTCTTGCAGAACACTCTTGTAGGACACTCTTGTGGGGCACTCTTGTAGGACACTCTTGTGGGGCACTCTTGAAGGACACTCTTGCAGGACATTCTTGTGGGACGGGACACTCTCGTAGGTCTTGTGGGACACTCTCTTGTGGGGCACTCTCTTGTGGGACACTCTTGTGGGACACTCTTATGGAACAATCTTGTGGTACACTCTTTCTTGCCGGACACTCTTATGGAACACCCCTGTGGGACACTATTGTGGGACACTCTTGTCGGATACTCTGGTGGGACACTTCAAGTCTGCAAAGCGAGCGTTTCGTACGAGACTTCCTCCAAAGTTCACGCGTCAATCCTCCAAAGCGAGTGCTTCGTGCGAGACTTCCTCAAAAACTCGCGCTTCGAGTCTGCAAAGCAAGCGTTTCGTACGAGACTTCCTCCAAAAGTCACGCGTCCGGTCTCCAAAACGAGCGTTTCGTACGAGACTTCCTCCAAAAGTCACATGTCAAAGTCTCCAAAACGAGCATTTCGTGCGAGACTTCCTCCAAAAGTCAAGCGGGAAGCCCCATCGAAGCACGCGCGCCAAGCAGCCCTGCCAAGCAGTTTCGCGATTCCAGCCCCTCCAAACAACGCCCGCTCGCACGCCAATCTCAATGTCACAGCGTAGTTCACCTCCACCACAACTCGCAACCTCACGACTCCCTGCGCCTGCCACGAAAATTTATGTGTCCACACATCTGACACACTTAGGATAGGGTGTACTGAACTGAAAGCGGTGCCACACGCCGGCCTAGGTTACCATTTCCTAAGAGTACAGGTAAGGAAGCCTGAAAAGGAAGAGGAGGTCCAACGAGTTCAGCGAGGCCATAAAGTCTAAAGGAACCACCGAATGATCGACCGACAGAATGACGTCGTCTGCTCACATCTGCAAATCAAAACCAAAGCCCCATGCAACACCATGTCTTGAGGTTCTGGGCTTAGCCTCGCGCCATTCCGTTTGAAAATGGCAGGTACGTAGTTCTGGCGTCCCAGAACTATATCACTGTGCGACAGATGCGTCTTCGTTGGCTGGAGACATCTGAAGCACACTCCAGCCCCCTGCTTAAAACAAAAGGAAAAAGAAGAAAGCGCAATCCGACTGGATCCCTGTGATTACAAGGCACACACACACACGCCTCCCCGAGGGGAGGCGTCAAGCTAAGGCTAAGGTGAGGGCAAATGTGCACGTGTGCGCGCGCAAGAGACAAAAGAATGAAGACATGACAGGAGGACGAGACGGGGCAAAGGTGTGTGTGGTGGAAATGAAAAGGGAACCAAGTGCACAGGGGCACCCGATGAAGCCCACCTCATTGTCAAGACCTGGGCGACCTGAAACCTGTGTGAAAATGTATGTAGAAGTGCACGTACACACTAAGGTCGGGGCCAATGCGCTCGCAAACGAAGAAAAGGATGAGATGACCAGACATGAAGACAGGAGGACATGAAAGAAGAGAGGAAACAAAAGTGTGTGAAGGGGAAGGGATGAAAGGGGAACCAAATGGAGGGGACGAAAACCGATGAGACCAAACCTCATTGCAACGACCTAGGTGACCTGCCTCGTTTCAATGTACACGCTGTGTGTGCGCCCAAGGTCGCGACAGGTTCCAATGAACCTCAGAAGTACTTTGGTCGCTCTGATCACGTTGAGGCGTTAAGCCAGCTTGGACCGCTGCGGTCACGTAAAGGCATGAGCCAACTTGGAATTCCAAAAATGAGACAAACATCCCACTTCTTGTGGCGTAAGCCATCTGCTGTCTGCTCCGGACACTTACATCTCCGGGCAGGGGGGATAACGACAAACCCCCGTTCGACGGGTCCACGGGAGGCACTCTACGGCACGAAGCCAAAACACTTAGGATAGGGTGTACTGAACTGAAAGCGGTGCCACACGCAGGCCTAGGTTACCATTTCCTAAGAGTACAGGTAAGGAAGCCTGAAAAGGAAGAGGAGGTCCAACGAGTTCAGCGAGGCCATAAAGTCTAAAGGAACCGCCGAACGATCGACCGACAGAATGACGTCGTCCGCTCACATCTGCAAATCAAAACCAAAGCCCTATGATAGGGGATGGAACTTCCTCTATAGAATCGCGGGGGTTGGGTCCCCGATAAGACCATTTTTTTAGCCACTTTTTCTTGGCTCATATGGAGCTTGTAAAGTCCTGTCCTTCAAGAGCCTCGATTTTGTAGAGAATTGTTGTTTTTTACAAGCTTGATTCTATAGAGGCTTGTAAGTATAGTGAAGGGATTTTGGATGTCTTGGGCATACCGATTCTATAGAGAATGATTTGTATGATTTTGGATGTCACGACCTGCAATTCTATAGAGATTGCTTTTTCTTGGCTTGATTCCAATTGGGATTGCTCAAAAGAACCCTGGGGAATGGAAAACAATTTGCAGGCATTTGCAGCCTCTGGACGGCTTGGGATGACTTGGGAAAGGGGAGAAGTGGATGATTTGGGGACAGCATTTGGACACATCTGGACACTATAAAATCAGAGATCATCACAGATCCTTACCTCTCCAATCCTCTCCATAACACCTGCTGTCTTCTCTATAGATTTGTGGTCCTACCAACTGGCAAATCAATACCTTCCAATGAAATTGGAATTTTATGTTTTGTTGAGACCCATGGCCCTTGATTCTACAGAGAACCAGGTTCAGACTACAACTCGACAATACCTGTTCGGGAGTACCTTGGGACCTGCAGTTTTATAGACAAAACCATCAATATTCACAACTTTCAACAGCTTTTGACAGACTAATGGCCCTCAATTCTATAGAGCTGAATCTTTGTAT